GAATAGAATAGAATAGAATAGAATAGAATAGAATAGAATAGAATAGAATTCTTTACTGGCCAAGTGTGATTGGACACACAAGGAATTTGTCTTTGGTGCCTATACTCTCAGTGTACATAAAAGAAAAAATAGAATGCATTTATCAAGAATCATAAGAGACAACACTTATTGATTGTCGTAGGTTACTAAATAAGCAATCGACTCATACTAGGAAATAAATAAAACAATATAAATTGTAAAGATACAAGCAACACTGTTATAGTCATAAGTGGGAAGAGATAGGTAATAGGAAGGATGAGAAGAAGAATAGTAATACAGTCTTACTAAGTAGTTTAACAGTGTTGGGGAATTAGTTGTTTAGCAGAGTGATGGCATTTGGGGAAAAACTGTCCTTGTGTCTAATTGTTCTAGTGTTCAGTGCATTGTTTTGTTTCCAGTAATTCCACATTATTTTTCATTTGGGAGATAAATAGAAGCCAGGGCTGAAAACATAATATGTAAGGGAACTATTTCCTTTAGGTAGGAGAATTATTGACATTCTCGTCCATGCTTCTAATGTGTGTTCCATGGGGACAACTTGAAATGAATGGAAGACTATTTCTGAAAGACCTTTCTTGTTAAGGAAGGAAGGCCCTGGAGCAGGTGTCTCCAACCTTGGCAACTTGAAGACTTGTGGACCTCAACTCTCAGAATTGAAGGGAGTTGAAGTCCACAAGTCTTCAAGTTGCCAAGATTGGAGACCCCTGCCATGGAACAACTCAAGAATGACTGACATCACCATCTTTCTCACTGAACTTCTCACTGGGTTCACATAACCTTCTGGATCCACTTAAGGAGAGAATGGCTTCATTAACTCAACCAAGAAAGCTGGATTGGTGCTCATCCCTGTTGGTTAGCTTTCTGTAGGATTGGATAATTTGTCATTCAAGGAAGCGCTCACTCCAAGAAGAAAGAGACTATTATAAGATATGGGATTTATTCTCTGGATGGTTAGAAAGTAGAGCAAGATATTAAAGGATATTATACAAATGATGTATTGAAAGCTTACTTTAAATAAGTTATAATATGAATATATTCAGTAAGAGTGGATAAGCTCTCAAAGATAGATAGTAATTGAAATTAAAAACCCAATGATATTGTAATAATGATATATTTTGATGTGATACACAATGTTTATTAACATGAATGTAAAATTAACTAGAAATGTATATAAATATAGTAATATGCACAAGAAAGATGTACCCAGATAACACACTGTATAATTGAAATATGATTTTTATTTGTTCTTTTTGGTTGTAAAAATAAAAATAAAAATAAAAAAAAGAGGAAGTGCTCACTCAGCAACAGGTCCTATAAAGACAACCACTAAACCAAGGGTCTTGAAACTTGACAAGTTTAAGACTAGTGGACCTCAACTCCCAGAATTCCTGAGCTCATAGGACTGGAGGAGGAATTCTGGGAGTTGAAGTCCCCAAGTCTTAAAGCTGTCACATTTGAAGACCCTTGCACCAAACAAAGACTTCAGCAGGTCCTTTCCCTGGCTTCTCATATTTGATTTCTTCTTTCCTTTTCCAGAAAAGAAAACCAAAGGAGAAATAACCCTATCTCTTTGCGAGGAAGCCCGAGAAGAAACGGGGGTGATTCAAGTGGACTTGCAAGGCTCAGAGCTGTGGAAGAGATTTCATGAAATTGGCACCGAGATGATCATCACCAAAGCTGGCAGGTAAGATCTAGGGCAGGTTTTTAGACGGTCATGCGTGCACACATGTTTCATCTTCCCTCCCCTGCTGTACACATCCTGCCTTTAAATAGTTGTCCGGGTCCTAGGAAAGATATTTATTTCTGCTAAACTACAAAATGTTTGTGGTTGACGATGAGGATGTGATTTTATTCTGTATTCACACACTGTACTAGTCCTTAGAAGAAGGGAGATCAGCCTATTCTTCAAAGCACCTGAAAGCAGAACAAGAAGCAACAAACAATTAGTAAATGGAAGGGCTTGATTCCAGAAGTGGTGGGTGCTCCACCAATTTTAAAGAAGAGATTGGATAATGTTTTGTCTGAAATGATATAAGGTCTCCTGCTTGAGCAGGGGGTTGCATTAGAAGATCTCTCTTCCAATTCTGTTTCTCCTTTCCTTTCCTTTCCTTTCCTCTCCTCTCCTCTCCTCTCCTTTCCTCCCTTTCTTTCTCCCTCCCTTTCTTCCCTACTTTCTTCCCTACTTCCTTCCTCCCTCCCTTCTATTCTATTTTCCTCCCTCCCTCCTTCCCTCCCTCCCTTTCTTCCCTACTTCCTTTCCTATTCCCTCTCTTCTATTTTTCCTTCCTTCCTTTCTTCCTTCTTCTCTCCCTCCCTCTCTTCCTTCTCATCTCCCTTGCTTCCTCCTTCCTTCCTCTTTCACTTTCCCTTCCTTCTTCCATCCTCCTTTTCTTCCTTCCTTCCTCTCTTTTATTTTCCTTCCTTCCTTCCTTCCTTCCTTCCTTCCTTCCTTCCTAAAATGTATAGAAGGTTTCAGATTACTATCTTAATCCATAATGTGGTGGATTTGTTTGGCACACCATGTCACACACATCATGTTGCATAAAACCAACCATGGCCTGCTTGTAAAACTAAACATTGAACAAACCATTTTAGTTGAGAGCATTTTGCAAATTCAGCCCCAGTTTGTGCTTCAATGAGCTCTGCCAACCCCCAAAACTGAGCTAATTAAATAAATTATTGTTACTTTTGGTGACTTGGGAGAGCAGAAACATTAAGCTTTATTGAAATTAATATTTTGTAAGTCAAAATATGAAATGTTCATCTAAGCAAATGGAAATTCCTGCTTACCTCTGTCACAGTTCAAGCTAAGAAGGGTTGGACCAGATTAATACTTAGATAAGTTTTGGAGAATCTCAGGGCTACAGACCCGATATGAAAACAGCCATAATAAAATAACAAATTCCCAGAAACAAAAGCAATCCCAAACCGTAACATTCCTATCACTAAAACTAGATGGCTACAGTCATAATGTCATCAGGAGTCAAATTTGCTTGGAAACAGATGCTTCTTTACTGTGTGAACGCAGCTAGTGTGGTTTGTTTGAGACTGATCGATGGCTTTGTATATTTTGCAAACACCTCAATAAATAAAATAGGGTTTTACTCAGTAAATCATGGTTACTTCAATCATGGTTTCATGAGGAGTGTGAACTGAACTTTGGGACTTTGTGATACCTCTTCCCAATGTATTTGCTTTGGGGGATGTAAAGTTAGCCATCATAACAGATAAGAGATAATCAGAATTGGAAAGGACTTTGTAGATCATCTAGTCCAGGTGGGAGACCCTGCACCATTTCTGACAAATGGCAGTCCAGTCTCTTCTTTAAAGCCTCCAATGATAAAGTTCCCACAACTTCTGAAGGCAACTTCTGTTCCATGGGTTGATTTTTCTCACTGTCAGGAAATATTTCCTTATTTCCAGGTTGAATCTCTCCTTGATCAGTTTCCATCCATTATTTCTTGTCTGGCCTTCAGGTGCCTTGGAAAATAGCTTAATCTCTTTCTCTCTATTATGTCTCCCCTGGTCCCTCTCTTTTTTTAATACTGTGGTGACCAAAACTGGATGCAGTACTCTAGGTCTGGTCTTACTAAGGCTTTATAGAGTGGTGTTAGTACTTCCCTTGATCTCTTTGATGATGTATTCATCATTAGCAGCGTGTTACCATCATGATGACCAGAAGGTGCTATAAACCACTTGTCTAGAAATGGAACTAAACCATTACATCTGATATGATATAATTTTAAAGCAATATCTCTTCAGAAAAACACCAAAAATTCTGTGTAACTCTGAAACTGGGCTAAAGCATTTTAAAGTTTGCTAGAACTTTATCACATTGCAGTTTGGGTTTTGTCTTGGCTCCATGCTTTCTCTTTCACACAGCCAAATGCTCTTTACCAGCTTAAGCAAACGACTTAAGACAGTAATGGTAATGATACTGATAAGTCAGACCGTAGTCAGTTCAGCATTAAAACTCACAAAAGAGCTGGACACATTGCTATTTCTAGGATTCCTCTGCCCTTCTCCTAAAGTGAGAGTTAAAAATGCATCCTGATTCACACAACTGGGCAACAAGATGACTCTCATTTAAGTGCCCTGAAAAACACAAAAGTATTAGCAACGCTGAACCTAGAACACTTCTTGTTATTGGAAAAAAACAAAGCTGGAGACCAAAGTGGCATTCCTGGACATGGGCTACATTCTCTTATGGGTAAACATTTGGAAAACAAAATGAAAATTGCTGTGGAACATTCTGAAGGATCTTCCTCTTGTCTCTAGTTTGCTTTTCTTCTGCTATTTGTCTGCAAGTCTTCTTTGAAAAGTATTCTGCATTATTAGGGTCCTTGGGGTTCTCTGAGCTTGATTGTTTCTTGAAAACATTTCATTAGCCAAGCACTGGTGATGGTAATAAATCATCTGCCAGCAAACAACCAAGCTGAGAGAGCATCAAGAATGAGCCAGCCCTCCTCCTCCTCCCCCTCCCATGTTACCTGGTTGTTGCATAACAAAACATATGCAAGAAAACAAGCAAGCTCAGAGATACCAAGAATGACCCAGTCCTCCTCTCCTCCTCTTCCTCCTCCTCTTCTTCTTCCTCCTCCTCTTCCTCTTCCTCCTCCTCTTCCTCTTCTTCCTCCTCTTTCTTCTCCCCCTCTTCCTCTCCTCCCCCTCCTCCTATGTTACTTGGTTGTTGCATAACGAAACATATGCAAGAAAACAGCCAGAGACACCAAGAATGACCCAGTCCTCCTCTCCTCCTCCTCCTCCTCTCCTCCTCCTTCCCCTCTTCCTCTTCCCCTCCCCCCTCCTCCTCCTCCTCCTCCCTCTCTTCCTCTTCCGCCTCCCCCCTCTTCCTCCTCCTCCTCCTTCCCCTCTTCCTCTTCCTCTTCCCCCTCCCCCTCTCCTCCTCCTCCTCCTTGGGTAATGAAACATCTGCAAGGAAAAAACCAAGCTCAGAGACCACCAAGAACACCACAAATCAAACCAAGGCTACAAATAATCTCTTCTATTGGTATTTTGTAGCTTGCTACTTGCAATACTTGTTTCATTTACCTAGATAATTACGGGAATTGGATAGTTAGTTAGCAATTCCCTTAAGGGAATGCATCATGGTAAATGTAGTTAAGGTATCCTGGGAAATGTAGTCCATGTCACGTGACCACATCTGTAATCCTGATTGGTCACTAAATTGACCCTCGATGGGTTGGGGGAGGTTTCTTTACTCTTGCCTGAACTCACGGATTCGTGGTAGCTGCCCTACCTCTACCGCTACGAGATGGGAGGAAAGGGATAAGGAGATAACCATCTTTTTACCTACAAAACAGATATGCAAAGGATTGGACATTAAGAAGAACTTCGTTACAAATGTGAGTTATGAGGATACCTGATGAACCAATAATAAAGACTTTGTATGAATGTTTTGTTGAGTTTATCTATCTGCATCTGTACAGAAGACAAAATCTACCACTGTACAGAATACAGAACAATTAGGAACAATTTATGTTCCTTTCCTTCAGAGGCAGCCTCACATTTATTGTCATTTTTCTGCAGAAGTAGCACTTCTAGAAAATCAGGCAGGAAGTGCATTTATAAGTATGCCCCCAAAAAGGTCATTTTTATTCAACCAGCAATTCTTCCAAGTAAAACCTCACCAGATTGCAGCTTACAATTACTCCCGTTGACCAACTGCAGTGATTTTTAAGAACTTGGTCCTCTTGCTAACACAAATGTCTACTTCTACAGCCAAGCAATTTACATTGATCTGTCTTTTCTTTTTCCTTGTACTTCCCTCTCCAAATGGGTAGTAATAATTAAGATTCTAGGTGTGGTATAAATGCTTTGGGGCTGGAGAAAAAAAAAAAAACCAGCTTGTGTGGCTAAAATGTCTGAATGTTGGAGAGAGTCATGAAGTGGCAAAATGAAAATGTTACAGTAAGGTAACACACATTTTGTTTTGCGCAGGAGAATGTTTCCTTCGGTCAGAGTTAAAGTAAAAGGTCTGGATCCAGTGAAACAGTATTACATTGCGATAGACGTGGTCCCAGTGGACTCGAAAAGATACAGGTAAAAAAGTTTTGATTCCTCCCTCCCCCACGAATAAAGCACATAAACCTGTTGATTTTTTGAAATTTAGATTCTAAGTCTAAAGGTGCTTTTATTTTTTCCAAGAGGCAAATGGACTTTGGGACAACTATGACCTGGATGACTGAAAAATCTTCATAGAGTAGACATTTAGATTCTAAGCCTTCCTTTCTTCCTTAGTTCTTTCTTTCCTTCTTAGTTCCTTCCTTATTTTCTTCCTTCCTTCCTTCCTTCCTTAGTTCCTCCCTTAGTTCCTTCCTACCTTCCTTAGTT